CTTGAGGATGTGCACCAGGTGAATGAGCAGTTCGTCCTCACTGTCGGCCACGCAAACGAAGCGGTTGTCTAACGTGATCAACTCAAACTGAAAAGTCGCCCTGCGGGGAGGAACACTCGTCAGTGCGCCGCTCCCTCGTGCCGCCGCCGCCGCCGCCGTAGCTTCAGGGGACCGCGTACCCGTCTTTTCGGAAAAGCGACAAAACCTCCCGCAAGTCGAGCACGTCGCAAGCCGCCGAGTCGTTTTCCACCGAGAAGAGGAAGCGATCTTCTTCCAGTTTGCCGTGAAGCTCCTCGTCTTCGTCTCCTACGCGCGCGCACGCGACTCTCGTCATCTGCGATCCCGTTTGAATTGAAAAAAAAAAACGTTTACCTGAGCAGCTGGACTCCGCTCTCCTATGTCCCGATTTGGGCAAGTAGGGCGGAACCTCTGTGGAAAAAAAAAAAAAAAAGGGGGTCGGGGGCATAAGAATATTTCAGTGTGCGCGCGCGCGCGTCACGAAAGACGATTCCGTGTCCATCTCGATCCCCGGGGGTGCGCTAATATTCGAGGGCGGCAACGTGGAAGCGCAACGTTTCAATTCCATTCGCTCAGCGGGATTCCGACTCGATTCGGCTTTTCCGGGGGGGGGGGGCGATGCAACGGGTCGCTTGTCGCGTCACGCCGTGTCATTTTCCATTCGCCGCTTCTCCTCACGAGGGCCGCGAGGGGGGGGTTGCCGGAGCACCCTGAACCGGTCGGCGAGCCCGCGCCGCCCGCTCCCAAGTCAAAAGCGAGTGGACCGCGATGGGTTCAGCGAGAACTTTTGTTTGACTTTCTTGAATTTGGCAATGCGTGCGCACATGCGTGTGTGTGTGTGTGTGTGTGTGTGTTGACCTGTGTACTCGTTGAGTCTGAGTAGCTCGGCCTGCAGAGCTTGCCCTGCTCTCTCAGCCAGCTGGATGGCGGAGGGGCTCAGGGGGTCCGTTTGACACACCTGCAGGAAGGAAGCCCCGTCAGACGAGGTGACGGGATGCGTCTTTGTGCTGCGTTACCTTTGACCCCGAGCAGATGAGCGAGAAGGTTTCTTCCACGTCGCCGCCACAAACGACTTCTCGCAGCCTCTGGAACACAACGCTCGAGTTGCAAACGCGCACTTGATTGCTGACGTTTGCGGGGGGGGGGGGGCACGGCGCCTCGCACCTGCTGCATCGCCTCGGCAGAGGACGCGAGGGCGTGTACTCGTCGGTAGCGCCCCTTGCCGTATTTATCCTGAATGAACTTTGACCTGCTCTCATCGGAGGCCTCCGGACCGATCTTCTCCGCGGCGGGTATCAGGGGGGCCCACACCCGGTTGGCCAGACGGTTACCGTGGGCAACGAACAGCTGCGAGAGAGAAGGGGCTTCCAAAGTCAGACAGAGAGAGAGACGGCGGCGGCCACCTTCCCGGCGGAATGGCCCCGGCCCGCTTCCCCGCTCACCTGGACCAGCGGCTCGGTCCACACCTTGTTGTCCATCTTGAGACTGCGGACCTTGGACACGGCGCTGCCCAGAGCCCGGTGCTGCCCTGCGGAGAGGCCGTTAGCGTCGGCTGGTCAGCGCGGCCGCGAGCGCCGCGGGGCTTGCGTTCACCGGCGCAGCTGTGACAGATGACGAGCAGGAGGTTGACCGCCGCCCACTCGGGGTCGGCGGCGCCGCAGTCGGCGCACTGTCGGTTGGACGGGTTCTTCCACAGACGCGTGGCCACCTGGTTGCAGGACAGAGCGCTGCTGATGGACGAGGACAATCCCGCCAGCCAGGCGGACAGATCCTTGGACGAATCCACGGACAGGCTGTTGGCGGGCGGCGGCGACGGCAAAGAGGCGGGAGACAACCAAGTCAGATATGGCGGGCCGCGCCTCACGGAGGAACCAGGGCACGTACCTGAAGGTCCGGAACGGCGTGGCGAGGGTGAAGGAGTGTTTGCCGGCGGTCCGGACGGTGGCCAGGTTGAGGGGGATGCTGTAGCAGGCCACGCCCAGTTGGAAGCCGTCTTTGTTCTGGTAAATCCAGAAGTCGTGGCCCCAGATGGCGGCGTAGAAGTGGCTCTTGGGGTCCTTGACCGTGATGGCCCCGTGGAGGTCCGGGGCGGCGGGGCCCGGCTGGCCCCGGGACGCCAGCAGAGACTGCACCCAGCCGTCCCGAACGTCTGCGAGGCGAAGGCCGTGAGGGCGCGGCGCGCTCGGGCGTACGCAGGAGGAAGGCCGCGGAGGCGGGACCCACCGTCGCTGTGGGCCATGAAGTCGTAATGCTTCTTCTTGAAATAGACGGAGAATCTTCCCCTCTCCAGTTTCTTCACGTTTGTGATGCTGGACACGTGGAAGAGAACCTCGCTGAACTGGTCCTGATCACAAACGGCGACCGTCACTCGCGACCGACGCGTGCGCGCTCACGGCCGGGAGGGCGCGCGCGCGCGCTCACCGTGCGTTTTTTCCACAGAGACATCAACTGCCCGTCCAGCGTGGCCCAAAAGACGTTGTGTCTAAAACGAAAAAAAGAACACACTGAGCAGAAGAAGAAGCAGGACCTCTGTTGGCAAACGATCAAGCGGTCCGTCAATCTATCGCTAGCCGGCTTGACTTGGATATATAGAGGGCTCCGTCCTTTTAGCAATTACCCACAATGCACTACCGGCGGCCATATTGGAGGGCTGTTATAAACAAGCCATACACGAAGTCTATTCATGTACAGACGTGAAGCTCTTTGCTCTACCTGAAGCCTTTCCAGACGTCCAACCAGCTTGCTCGGACCACCGCGCTCTGCGGGTCGGCGGGCGGGCCGTGTCCTTTCTTTCTCGACACTCGGATGGTTGCCGCGCTGCGAAAACAAACGGTGACGATGCGCCGACCGCCACCACAAGGACAACGGCAAAAGCAACCCCGAACCTCAAGGACAACAACCGCGACGGTGAAGAACAAGGACAAAGAGCCCCATCACAAGGTCACCGAGAACGACGGCCAGAAGAAAGTCAGTCGCAACGTCGGTCACGGAAACGGCAGCCGTGACCGCGGCGGCGACGAGAGCGTCCAGAACAACACGGACGACCGCAACGAAAAGCGTAATCACGCCAAAAGCCGGCCCGTGGGCACCGGCGACACTCTGCCTCTCACTCGCGTACCTTGGCGTCTTTGCTTTGGAAGGCTTCCTGCTCTTGGCCGATTGGGCCACCTGGAAAGGGGGCGGCGCGGCCGGCCGAGGAGGCGTCGCGCTCGGCGAGCGGCTGCAAGCGCAAACCAAATGACAGTGGTCAAGCGTGCCATATGAGGTATTCGGTCCGGTAGCGGGCCGAGGACGAGTCGGTCAGTACGCACTTGGCGCCGTTGAGCAGGCTGTCAACGAGGTCCCCTCTCATGGGACCGTTCGCCGGCGAGGAGCCGGGCCAGTTTTGGTACAGGTCCTCCTCATTGGACGAGTCGGAATCCGCGTCGTCCTCCCAACTTTCCAACACGGTGATGTAGAGATCGTCGTCCTCTTCCTCTGGAGAGTTTGGGACAAAGCGAGTAGAACGTGAGCTCGGGAAAACCAACGCCGGGTGGCCGTCAAATCCCTTCGTGGTGATTCGGGAGCGGGGAAGGAGTGGAAAATTGCCAACCCTGATGTCTCCTGCCTGAGGCTGATGGCAGCCGTGAGTATGTCCAGAGTTTGGGTGTGTGTGTGTGTGTGTGTGTGTGTGTGTGTGTGTGTGTGTGCGTGTGTGTGTGTGTGTGTGTGTGACAAAAACGATCTCCACAGGGCAACTTTCAGATGGGTGGCGATTTACAACACTTTGGCTCACCGTGACCCAGTCCCGCGAGTCCTGCCTGGCCCTCCGCTGGTGCCGGCGAGTCCGCGACGATGGCATCTGGACCGGAAGAAGAAAAAAAAACCAAGAATGAGGACCGGATGACTTGACGGTCTCCGATGGGAACGAACGTGAGTCCTCATTGATTTACCGTCGGATGTCGAAGGACGGATGGCTTTGGCAGATTGGGACGGCGGGTTCGCCGCCAGGCTCAGCATACCCGCTAAGCTGGGTACGTTTGACAGGGAGCTCACGACGGCGGCCAAGTTAGCGGGCGGCGTGCCGGAGGAGCTTCGCGTAGGCGCGGCGGCGGGGTGGGAGATGGCGCTCGCCGCCCCGGCTAAGCTGGGGATGCGCTTAGCAATGTCGCTAGCAATGCTGTGTACGGATGGGGGAGACGAGGGGGTCGGGCCGGAGGCCGAGCCGCCGACGGCCGCGACCCCGTATGGAACGTCGACAGGCGACCCGGCGTCTTCATCTGAGGGGGGGGGGGGGGGGGACATCATTACAGGAGTCATTAGAGCGGATGATTGATAGATGGCAGATGTTGAACTCTTGTGAGGTGTTCACAGATGTGTGTAAGCGTGAGTGTGTGTGCGGGTTAAAGTGATGTCACAAACTGGTTGCAAACCAGTTCCTGAAACCAGTTTTCGACACTGATGTGGAATTGAGTTGAGCCGGTTAACTCTTTGGGTGCCCAATCCGAGGTCGGGCAACGTTCTGTTATTGTGTGTGTGTGCGTGTGCATGTACCCGTGCCAAACTGATCTCCGTCGAAACGCGTCTGATTTCTGAAAGACAAGAACACAAGAAGTATGTTTGTCGGCATCGCCGCCCGGACAACGGCGCGCGCATGTGCGTGTGTTTGTGTTGCTCGCAAAGTAGGACTAGAAACGATTCGAGTGGTAACGACACGGTCGCCACAGAAAAGCACTCATCCGACCGCCGCACTCATTCGCCTTCCTGTCCTTTGAAGCCACGTAGGGAAAAAAAACCCAAAGTTTGCTCCGCGACCTAAGCGTCCCTCAATGAACTTCAGCAAACCTCCGCGCATACCTCGAAGGCTGCGGACGCTTGCGCAGCTGAATTTGGCCTGGCCGCTATTTTTCCGAACGTCGACAGCCATAAAAGCCAACGGTGCGACGCCGGGCCTTGTCGAGCGAGCGGCGGTAAAAAGACTCCCCAAATCGGGGAAAGGCGCCTCTCAGCCAGCTGGCGACTGCCCGCAGTCAATGAATTCACGCGGACCAAAAGCAAGCAAGCAAGAAAACGTTTCTCTTTGACGGGCAGAGACGCGTGGTCGCAGGTGTTTGTGCGTGCGTGCGCCTACGCCGACTGGCCGTCCGGCGAGGAGGCGGAGCCCAGGTTGTCCCTCGCGTAGCGGGCTCTCGGTTTGGGGACCGGCCGGGGCGGAGGCATCTGGCGGGGGAGAAGACGGGGTCACCGTGAACGGCTCGTTCGGTGATCAGGAGCAACGGAAGATTGGACACCGCTCGGAAAGCATCCGCCCAGCGGATTGGCTTTAGCGGCGGCGACAACGCGACAAGCCGACAGAAAGCGGGCGTTTCCCTGGTCGCCGCGCTCGTCGTCGAACGCCACCCGGGGGTCTTACCGCGTCACTCCTTCGATCCGGCTGGCGCTTTGTCCGTTTCTCTTCGGGGTCCTTCCCCCCCCCTTGCCCCCTTCTTTAGCGTCCTGTCCACTCGGTCGCTTTGTTTCTCTCTCGGGCTTCCGTGGCATTCGTCTTTCTCTGCGTGGATCTTGGGCGAACGCACGGATTCACGTGACTGGGCGATATCGTCCAACCTGCTCAGTCACCTTTGCTGTTGTTGTTGTTTTTTTGACACAACCGGTTCTTCTCGCCGATGTCATCACACAAGTATGCATGCGCTTGTGCGTCGGGCTCCGCTCGGTCCGCCTTTTGCGAAAAGAGACCTTGAGAAGGGGCCGCAGATGGGAGGATGACCGTGCATCAACGGAGGCCGAGTGGGCCGCGTTTGACGCACTCTTGTTATGAGACAACGTTAGATCCGATGACGTCAAAGTCCATTGACGAACGTCCTCGCAGGGAGAGAGAGGCCCCGCCCCTCTCGGTCGAGGAAGGACTCTTCAGGGTCCAGCTCGGTTGGTGCCAATCGTGTCCAACATCCAAGCGGGCGTGTCGTCAACACCAAGACGGGACACGCCCACCAAGTTTTGAGCCCAATGACGGCTGGGCAGAGAGAGCTTCAGACTTCCACCGCTCCAGTTTTTCAATATTTTACGGCCGTAATATAAACGCATCCGAGTCGAACGGTGACGCGAACCGAGATGCCGTGGAGCAGATCCGCCAGCCGGTCACCGTCGACGCGTTCCAGTCGCCGTGCGATGTGGACGCAGATGTCTCGGAGTAGGGCCGCGCGTTGCGGTTCTCTGACGTGGGAGAGTCGACCGTGGTCTCTGTTGCTGTTGCGCAACCTCCAACAGGGTCCCGAAGCGGCTCCTAAAGCCACAGCGGCCCGGGACCTGCAGACCCACTCGTCGGCTGTTGACTGGGAACCGTTCGGGCCATGGTCTCTGTGGCGGATGCGCACGCGTGAGAGCCAAACGCGACTGGCGAGAGGAGAGCTGTGAGAGTTGGATGCCGGACGCGGCGCCGGCCCAGGACAGCCGCTTGCTGCAAATGAGGGGATGGCCGCCGATATGCGGAGACGGACCACAGCGGATGACTTTTCCACTTTCCGCGTTTACGACTCACTGTGTGTGCGCGCACGCTTTTTTGCTGGCACGTGTGCGCATTCCTGTGCGCGCGCGTGCGCTTTGGACCTCGGTTGACTTCCTGTCTGGCTTGGAAGAGATGCAGATGAAAACAGACCCTCTTTCTCTCTCTCTCTCTCTCTCTCTCTCTCTCTCTCTCTCTCTCTCTCTCTCACTCTCGTTTTCTCCGCCCCCCTCCCCGTTCCCGCCCCCTCTGTCTCTCTTTCTCCCTCCCGCTTGCTCGCCCGTTGAGTCAGTGAGTTTCCAGGCATCGAGCGGCGGGAAGAAAAAGCCTCCGAAAGAGGAGGAGGACTGCCGAAAAGGAGGAAAAGAAGACAGGAAAAAGGAGGACAAGGACGGACCAGGTTGGAGGAAAACCATTTCGGTGCGACTCGGGTTTGGATGCTGGCGTGAAAGCTTGTTTCCATGGCAACCTTTTTGACTTCACCCCACCGACCAGTGAGCGACATTTTGGGGGAAAGTCCCTTCCCGGATCGAATACGCATTGTGGATGTCACGCTCGGCAGAAGCGAGGACGAGAAAGTTTGTTGATGCTTTTAGCAGACGTGTGCGTGTGTGTGTGTGTGTGTTGACTTGGCGCTCTTTGACTCCGCCCCCCCTGCGGTCACCCGCGCATATTTTCCACACCGTTCATTTTTCTCCGCTGACGTCATTGGATGAATGTTTTGTCGATGTCACCCGTTGTCACGTGTTTGCCTTTGTGCAGGGTGATCGTTTTCGCCGAAGCCGATCGGACGTTGGCCGACGGATGCGCGCCGGTGAGTGCAACTTCCTGTTTGCCGGGTCGCCGGCCCCACCTCCCATGCCATGTTTAGCGAGTCACAATGTGCGTAACACGTTCCGTGCCGTGCGCTCAACTCGCCACCTGTTGTGATGTGCGGCGTGTCCGGCGCACCAAAGTCAGCGGCGCGTCGTTAGCCGGAACAGGCACGGTCCAGCGAGTAACGCGTCCTGTGCCGTGCGCAACACCTTACCTGTAGCGGGCGGATATTGTGCGACAGTGTAAGAGAAACTCCAAATCAACAAAACGCCGTCTGTGATGTGATCGGTCAGAGTCGGGAGTCATGCCGGCGCCCCTGCGAGCAGGAACAGGAAGTCTGAAAGTGCTGCACTTCTTGTTGGGTGAGGAAGAACGCAAAGCCAAGTGTCTTGTCTGTCCTGCTCGCTGATTGGCTGGATGGACTTACGACGGTCTGTGTGTGTGTGTGTGTGTGTGTGTGTGTGTGCGTAGCGGTGCTCGTGGGTCTTCCGGAACAGGGCGTCAGTCTGGAGCTGATTCCACTGGCCTCGCAGGTTCTGCTCCAGCCTCAGTCCAACTTCACCGTGGTCAGTCTGTCTTTGTTTCTCTGCGGGCTTGTCACATGCTCCCTTGTGTGTCTCTTCGTTCTTCGTCCGATCGAATTGCCCGTCTTGGGGAGGCCCCCCCCAAAAAAGTGTTTCAAGGCTCGAGCGTTGGCGCAACTTGTCGGTCGCCGAGGCGCCTGGCACCGCTTTGACGAAGGCGGCTTTTTGGCAGGTGTGTTCCGGCTGGAGCGAGGTGTCCTGGCGCTTGCCGCGGCAGGAGCTTGAAGAGGGCAACGCGGCGGTGGAAAAGGAGGGATCCCGCAGCGTCCTGCAGCTCTTCAACGTCACCTGGAGGAATTCCGGCAGGTACGCCTGCGAGGAGTCGGCGTCCGATCAGGTCAGGGAGATGGACATCTTCGTACCCGGACGAGGTGAGCGCGGGATCGGCGGACGACGCGTCTCGGAGTCCTACGATCATTTCACGCCGCCCCCCCCCCCCTCC